ATAGTGCTAGAATGTTCATTTCCTTGGTGAGGCACGGTTAAGTTCTGCTTCTCACTGCCATGTCCTCTTGCTTATTTCTCCTAAAAATAACAGTAAAAGCTAATATGTATGAAACACTTCCTATCTTACTATGTGTCAAGTTCTGTACTCAGTGCTTTACACTCATGATCTCATTTAATTTTGATGACAACCTAGTGAGGCAGGAACTTTTATTCTCTCCATTTTACAGATGAAGAACCCAGAGATCAGAAACGCTAAGCAATTTTCTCACTTGGTTTGTCAGCCTCTAAAGCCAAGCTCTCAGCCTCTGTATCTTGCCTTCCAGTTCTGCCTCAAATTATGGAAGTATAGACTTGCACACTGTTTTGATCCCCCTCGTCTATGCAGTAGGAGAATTCAAGACAAGTTAAATGGCCAACGCTGATTTAGGAATAAGGGAGAGACTGGTCTCTGTTCCCTGTTTCCACCAGCAGGTGGCACAGTTACCCGCTGGATTTTCCCTGGGAGCCATTTGCGAGGCATCTGTTTCTTTGGAGACACCGTCGGCCCAAATGAACCATCAAACCATTTTTTCTGGTTGAGTTTGCCTAATCGTGTTCAGTGAAGACAGTCTATGTGGACAAACGTTGTTGTGAGAGACTGGCGAACAGTTACAGAGATTCTTGTATTTCTTTAGATCACGCCTACTACTATAACTACAATTTGTAGATAATTTTATATCCCAGCCACCTTCTTCTTGGCACCCAGTGCATTTCAAGCCACATTGCTCAGAGCACTGTTTGATGAGAAGATTCCATCGTAAAACAAAGTTAATCTTACTTTGCATGTGACAGAGTCACGGACAACCTGATGATCTTCAAGTGATTTTAGTCGTGTGTCACTACTGCAGCCACCATTCAGAGTTAGATTCTAATCCTGGCTCTGCCTCTATGTCATCTTGAGATGACCTTGACCTATCTGTGCTTGGATTCCTTAGCTGTAAACCACAGAGTACCATTGCATTGGGTTGTGACAATGACTGCTTGAGACTCATATGATTAAATCATTTGAGAAGGACCTGGCACCTGCTAACACTCAATAGGTGTTAGCTCTTGCCAAGCCCCACTCTGTCCAATCCCAAGGACTCCTGCCAGATAGAGAAGGATGTTTTGGTAAGTAGAAAGTGTTCGGCTCTTTTGAAGTCTTTATATACTTCACTGGACTTGCTTCTATGTGTTTTGTATTATACCTTCCTGGTGGCCAGCTTCCATTCTACAAGATAAAAATGCGACTCTAAGGTCACTTGTGAACTGTCTCCAAAAGGGGTATTTACACAAAATTAGGATCATGAGGAGGTGGTCAGGATAGGGGCGCTTGCCTGGAGGCACACTGGCCTTCCCTTCCAGCCACACCCACCCAAAGATCGCCATGTTCATGTCACCTCTTTGGGATGCTTTCCCTGGGCACAAGTCCTGTGGGAAACGGTGTTGTCCGTGAATCCTTTTCCTGAGGAGGGTGGCTCACTGTGCCCAGGCAACATCCTGGGTGGAGATGGCATCGCGGGGCCTGAGAGAGAGACATGTACTGCCCCTACCCAATGGCAGACTCCAAGCAGGCACACCCCATTGGGCACCAAGTTTACTTCCCAACTGCCGGTCGGTATTTAACTTTCCACATAAGATTAGATTAAACATTTGGGTTCATAAATGCCTAGATTGCAGATTGCAGCTAACAAAGGCTTGGTCAGCTGCGAGCTGAAGGTGCCCAGCAGGCTGAGATTTCATGGTCCCAGAGAACTTGCCAACACCAGCCAGGAGGTTGAGAGCTGCCTGGCTTTGTAGCAGGGGGTTTCCTACGGCTCAAGCACTGCCTAGGTAAGCTTTTATTGCAAATTCTTTACTGTTTGAGAAATTAAGTAATAAAGCAATCTATTTCCTTTTTCAAGAAGTTTATAGGGTTGCCTGGTGGCTCAGTCGGTTAAGTGTCCAGCTTCAGCTCAGGTCATGATCTCATGGCTTGTGAATTCGAACCCCACTTCAGGCTCCGTGCTGACAGCACAGAGCCTGGAGCCTGCTTCAGATTCTGCGTTTCCCTCTCTCTCTGCTGCTCCCCCCACCCCCCTCTCTCTCTATTAAAATAGATAAACATAAAATTCCCACCAGATGAGTAGATCTTGTCTCTGTAAGGGGCAGGGGGCCTGTGGTGATGTCTTGTGTAAGATTAAAACCAGCTTAGCCATACTCTCTCACAGTGAATTGTATTATTTTAAGGGCGAGAAAACATGTCTCTGTTCCATTGCTTGGAACACATGCATGTATTTGCGGGCAGTCTCATCTATTTGTTAAGTTTCTTTTCAACTCTCTAGGCTTTCTGTGGAGGGGAGAAGGAGAGCTCTCTGAATAACTGGACTTAAAACATCAGATGGGAAAAAAGCCTATTAACTTAGTTACAGTAATTCTCAATGAGTGAAATATTGGGAAGGCATCAGAGAAAGACCTGGAAGTCTGCTTGGGTCCCTCCCGCGGGTAGGGAGATCTGAAACATCTCTCCTTATAAGAGGAAAGGCACGACCTGTTGGAGAGAGTGGACACTGTTTTCAGAAGGGCATTCACCGAACCCACTATTTGGGCTCTTACTGCCCGGGTGAACCTGTCCATAGGTCCTGGCCCATCACAAATTCACCTCCTGTCTACATTCCTTCCGGATCTGTTCACCTCTGCGTGCTCCATCCACGAACCATGTTCAGCTCCATTCTCTGAGCGCCCTTAACATGTTGTCCATGCCTCTTACAACCCTTTGTACTTCTCGTTGCTGTTTGTTTGCAGCATTCCTGCCACTCTGAGCCTCCACAGGCAGAGACCTCACATTCGTCATCTCTGCCCTTCCAATGCCTCACCTGTGTCTGGCACACTAATTTATTCATTGAACATCCACTGTGTGCCTTTGATGTGTCAGGCTCTATGGAGACATTCGCCATACCACGGTAGGCAAAGGCGAGATGAGCCCTGTCTCATAGAGATGGCAGTTGAGTAGGAAAGATGACACCAGAAGCCAGTAATCACACAGAAACACCAGTGATATACACGGAGTTAGCACCTATTGTGAAGAGGGCTTTGAAGAAAAAAAAAAGATGCTATTGGAGAAAAGTGGTGGTGGTAGGGGGTGGAGCTTATTTAGAGCAGGGCCAGGGAGTTTTCTCAGAAGTGACGGCTAAGCTGGGGCCAAAAGGCTAAGGGCGTAGCAGAGGGAAGAGAAAGGAAAAGCTATTCCAGGTTGAGGGAAGAGAATGTGCAAATGTCCCGAAGCGGGAGAATGTTGATTGACTTAGAGGTGCGAATGACCAGTCATCATGAGGATAGAATAACTGGGGAGGTGGTTGGGGGCCAACTCAGGCCGAGCCAGGTAAACCCCACTAGGGAACTGGGATTTTATTTTAAGAATGACAGGAAGGTATTGAATCGTATTAAAAGCAAGGGGATATGATCTCATTTTCTTCTTTTTTATAAATGTTTGTTTATTTATTTATTTAGAAAAGGAGAGGGAGACAGAGAGAGGGAGAGAGAGAATCCCAAGCAAGCTCTATGCTGTCGGTGCAGAGCCCAACAGGGCCTTGAACCCATGAACCATGAGATCATGACCTGAGCCGAAATCAAGAGCTGGACGCTTAACTTACTGAGCCACCGAGATGCTCCTGATCTCATTTCCTTCTTCAAAAGAGCACAGTGACTGCTGTACATGGCAGGGAGGGACAGATATGCCCCAGGAGACAGTTTGGGGGAGGGTTGCATTGCACTGCATGGCGTCATCCAGGTGAAAGGTGTCGGTGGCTGGTCAGTGCCAGTAAGGATGTAGAGGAGAGGTGGATTTGAGAAATATGAATGATCTCTCAGGTCATTGCTTTGTGCCACTTACTTAAGATGCTTCTGTCAAATGTGGATGGACACACTCCTCCCTGCGGGATACTTGGAAAATACACACTTTTCCAAAGACAAAGGGGATGGAACAGACTGCAACGTCCGTCAGTGCTCCTTGCAATCCTGGCCCCATAATCCTCTGCAAACACGGACCAGACATGAGTCATTGCCTCCTTCATCTGTTGAACGCCTGTTATGAATAAGGCATTATGCTAGCCATTGTGAGGTGACTGGTCCATTTAGAAACAAAGTAGGGCAAGGTGCTTCATGAGAACTTGGAACGTGAGGAAAGTATAAAGAGGGGAGCCTGGGTGACTCAGTCTCTTAAGTGTCTGACTTTGGCTCAGGTCATGATCTCGCGGTTTGTGGGTTCGAGCCCCGCATCGGGCTCTGTGCTGACAGCTCAGAGCCTGGAGCCTGCTTCACGTTCTGTGTCTCCTTCTCTCTCTGCCCCTCCTCTGCTCATGTTGTCTCTCTCTCTCAGAAATAAATAAAAACACTTTAAAAAAAGAAAAGTATAAAGAAGGAAAAAATGTTAGGTACACCACCCACTATTAACATTTTGAACTATTTATTTCCAGTATTCATTCCATTTTCATTTGCATGTTTACATTTATTCACATATATAAATTGGGATGCTATATATAGTTATATATCCTCCAGCAAACTTTTTAAAAAATGTTTATTTATTTTGAGAGAAAGAGAGATACAAAGCGAGCAGGGGAGAGGCAGAAAGAGAATCTCAAGCAGACTCTGCACTACCAGCATGGAGCCTGATGTGTGGCTCCAACTCATTAACCGTGAGATCATGACCTGAGCGGAAATCAAGAGTCAGATGCTTAACCAGCTGAGCCACCCACACACCACTCCATCAGACTTTTGTTGTAAAATGTCATGCATGCAAAAATACATAAAGTGAATATACAAAGCTTAAAGAATAAAAAAAAATGCACTCAATCAATCACCAGCCAGGTAAAGAAGAAATTATATTACCTCTCCTTTTGCATTCCCTTCTCTTTATTCCTTAAAGTAGGCAAGTGCAGAAAGAATCAGTGTTCTTAACCTTGGTCATCTATTTTATTATTTAAATAGCAGCAGGAAGCAGATATGCTGACTTTGTCCAATCTGACACAGACGCTGGAAGATGTCTTCAAGAGAATTTTTATTACTTACATGGACAATTGGCGCAAGAACACAACAGCTGAGCAAGAGGCCCTGCAAGCCAAACTTGATGCTGAGAACTTCTACTATGTCATCTTGTACCTCATGGTGATGATCGGGATGTTCTCTTTCATCATTGTCGCTATCCTGGTGAGCACGGTGAAATCCAAGCGCCAAGAGCACTCCAACGACCCCTACCACCAGTACATTGTGGAAGATTGGCAAGAGAAGTACAAGAGTCAAATTCTGAATCTAGAAGAATCAAAGGCCACCATCCACGAGAACACTGGGGCAGCAGGGTTCAAAACGGCTCCTTGATAAGCAAGAAGGGCGTAAAGCCAACAGCTGATACCTGGATATGAAGAGATACCTGTGCCGTGGAGCAAATCCAAGTTGTCGCTGCTTAGAAGACATTAAGTTCCTTGCTTTCTGTTGAGATTTTTCATGCAGATCATGTGACAACTCAACTAAGATGACATTTTAATCTCAGTGTGATTTATACTTGCTCATCAGAGCAGTATTTTATGCTGAAGACCTCTTATACTTTCCGTGCAATATAAATATCATTTTAATCACTGTCAAATTTGACACATTTTGTCAAGTTAGTGGAAATAAAATCAAATTTGAAGTACAGCGCCTGTGTGCTAGCAGCAAGGATGGGGGGGGACAGGTACTTACAAATCAATGGACCGTCTTCCTCATGAAACATTATTTCGTATGTGACGAATTCACTTTGTAAATAACCCAGATGTATTGTGCAGAAGCCATAGTTCAAAAATGTGTCACCTGCTTGGCTTGACATCAGAGCATTTATTTATTAATTCATGAATGTCGAGTCTGAAGTGACGAATGAACAAAATCACCAGATTACTTTATGCATATTGTTTTCCCAACATCTAGCTTATTGGGAAGCCTGAAGACAGAACAAACATTTCACAAGGGCAAATTGTCCACAACAGAGAAGTGGCATCTTTAAGAACTATCGGGTGCAACAGAAACATATTTTTAAATTAACATTTAAAGTTTTATGGCAATCTAACTCTTTAAAGTTCTTGTTATTATAGAAAAAAATAATGAAAAGTTGTAACATTACTTTATAAATAACATATTCTTTTCACTCTATTTTCTTCCATTTACAATTATTTTCATTTATGTTTCAAGAGACTAATGATGCAGAAGGTGTCTGAATTACCGACGTCTGTTGAAAAGCTAGACAGTTCATTATATATAGACATTGCATTATAGATGCAATCCACAGATTAGGTGACTTCATCTATTAATTAAGCCAAAGCAATATTTAACACCTGTCTACTCCGGCCATTGGTGTAGACCCCAGGAGTGTAGAGATGAACAAGACTCCCTGAGCTGGAGTGGCCTACTCATTAGAGCGAGTCAGGTACGTAAACATCACGATAAAACAATGTAATCTGACAAGTTATCAAGGAGATCAACACAGATGATCAACACAGAGTGAGCAGAGCTAGAGCGGGGACAGGAGGGTGACCTAACTCGGGTTAAGGTCTACTCTCTCAGAGAAGCTGAGTAGGAAGTCGAAGCCAAGACAGATGTATGGGGCTGTTGCTTTGTGCCTCCCAGCTTACCTTTCTCTTCCCCATCTCTCCATCTCCTCAGCCAAGGCACAGCAATTGTGAGTAGGGCCTCAAGTCTCAGGGCTCTAGGGGTACCTGGGTGACTCAGTTGGTTAAGCATTTGGCTCTTGATTTTGGCTCAGGTCATGATCTCAAGGTTCATGCGTTCGAGCCCCATGTTGGGCTCCCCACTGACAGTGTGGAGCGTGCTTGGGATTCTCTGTCTCCCTCTCTCTGCCCCTCCCCTGCTCATGCATGCTCACTCTCTCTCTTTCTCTCTCTCTTAAGGTAAAAATAATAAATAGGGGCGCCTGGGTGGCTCAGTTGGTTAAGCATCCGACTTTGGCTCAGGTCATGATCTGGTGGTTCATGAGTTTGAGCCCCGCCTAGGGCTCTGTGCTGACAGCTCAGAACTTGGAACCTGCTTCAGATTCTGTGTCTCCCCCTCTCTCTGCCCCTCCTCTGCTCACTCTCTCACTCTTGCTCTCTCTCAAAAATAAACATTTAAAATAATAAGGAATAATAAATAAAATATAGAGATGATAAATTAATCAAATCTTTAAAAAAGTCTCAGGGTTCCAAGACAAAATTCCAAAAAGAAGCCTTTCTTCGAGGCTTTTAGGATGTCTTCCATTGTCTGCAAGGATCACAGCTCCACAAAGAGGTATCCACAAGATATTTGTTTCCTAGTAACAAATGGGCAATTATGCTAACATAAGCATTACAACAGTGTCATGGAAAGCAGTTTATATTCACAGAGCAGATGTGGCAAGAGTGGCCTCCTTTCTCAAATCAGAAATCCAGAAATGCCACTGCACACAGAACATTCATCACAGTGGGCCCAGAGCAGCAGCCCCAGCTACAGAGTCCTGGCCTTGGGTCTGGAGTCAGACTGAGATCCAAGGTTTCTACCAGGTGACAAAGACCATCATCTTCACTAACCTCTGGTCAGTCTCTTGTGAGTCACCAAGCAGGCCTCTGCCTTGGCCTATAAATGTTGCAGAGACTTGATACAAATGATTTTGTCCCCATCTCCACACTAAGAGACTTGAACAAACACTCGCATAGCTTCTAACAGCTCAAGACCTCATCCCTAAGAGGACCCCACCTCGCTTTGGGGTGTCTGCCTGAGAAAACTCAATGAGCTGCCAGAAAAATTTACTGTTGGTTTCAGTCCAAACCTGGAGATAGGCGGATCAGTTCCCTGAAGCCTCCCTTAGAGCAGTTACTTTAGAAAACGTGGAATTAGAAGTCTTCTCTCTCCCGCTTTGAGATATAAATCTTTCACCACCCAGAACTATCTTGTCTCTTTGAAATGCCAACACCCAAGGAGGTAACCCTTCCCACCCAGTGGGTACCTTGCTCTAACTTGCACCACCGAGTCTGGTCATAAAGACAGAAGTTTGTTTCTCTCTCAGAGAAATCAAATTGGACTGACTAATCCCCTGGTTTTTGTAAATTCCCACTTCCCTGATTCTGCTCAACTGACCCCACTCCCCCATTCTCCTCCTAAGACGCCCAGTTCCCACTATATAAATCAAAGTTGACTTTGGTTCATACTGGACCCTCTTCTCTGTTGCCATAGTTACTGAAGTAAGTCTATCCTTAATGCTTTAACTAGTGTTCGGCTTTATCTTTGACACAGGAAACCAAACTGAAGGAAAGAAATTTAATTTTTATAAGAAAGTGCATTTTATTATCATTACTGAAAGTATAGTTGGTAACGTAGATGGTTATGGGCGAAACGCCCAATCTTTAGAAGCATATCGGTTATACCGTTGTTGACACCACTTGCCCCAAGTTGCGCCTTCAACATTAATTCCCCAAATCCTAGGCTTTCCACTTTCAACTCGGCAACTAAAGATGCCTATTCAAACAACTTGCTGTGGTTGTTGTTGTTGTTGTTTTCCTATCTCGTTTGTTTTTAGGGCTCCAGCTGCTTGGATTCCTGGCTCCACAGGACCGGAACTCACTTACCATCTTAGAAAAGAGTTCAGAAGCGGTTTGAAAAGGAGCCCACGGCAGTTGCCACCCGCATAGTCTACATCCAGACTACTGAGAGTCAGGTCCCAGCTCCGGCACTTGCTGCTTTAAAACCCTGGACAAATGAATCTCTTCGTGTCTCCATTTCCTCATCTGTGAATTCGTTATGTTATGAACTGTTATAGGCTTGTTAGGAGACTTCAGGGAGACAAGAGCCTCACAGTGCTCAGAACGAAGCCAGTTTTGTTACTTTCTATAGGAAAACTTCGCTTGTCAACCGAACTAAACCCTCCACCCCTCACTTTGTCCTTTCCTCTGCAAGCCTAGCATTTTGTACGTCATCGCCACAAAATGTCATAATGGGATTTGGAGTGAGACCTCCTGGGTTCGAATCTAAATTCTATCCCTCCAATTCGCGAGTGTTCTTGCGCCAGCCACTCAGTGTCCCCTTGCTTTTTCCTCAGTCCGCAGAAGGGTGAGCCGAGCAAGGAGAGAGAACTCCGCGAACATTCCCTGTCGTCACTCTTGCACTTATCTGAGGTCTGGCTTGCGCCCTCCCCCGGGGCAGGGGCTGAGTGTGCCCGAGCTCGGCACGCGCGCACTGCGCGCCTGGTGAACGAAGGAAGCTGGGAACCGAGTACCAGGGCTACCGCTATCTCATTTTGTCAGCGATGAATGCTATATTTAGAAACTTCTGGGGACCCAAGGATCTGCAGTCGCAGACAGAAATGAGGAGTATCCAGAGGAAGCGGGGCGCCCAGCCATCCGGCCGTCGGCCTCCCCCAGCTCAGGTAAGTTCACAACGGGAACGGCCCGGAACCTGCACAACGGCCGTGCCAACCGTGTCCGGTGACCTCCGCGCAGCCCCCGGTAGTCTGGGGCGGAGCGTCCCACTGCGCCTGCGTACCGGGCGCAAGCCCTCGTAAGCGGCCTCGGGTCACTGCGCCGGCGCACGGAGCGGTGCATTTCGGGACATGTAGTTTCCTCGCCGCCTTGGGCGAGTTACTGTTCGAGTGTCGGCCTCTGCGGAAGAGCCTCCGCGGCCTGGAGCTGTAAGTGGGTGACATCTGGTCAGCGGGATCCGGAACCGAAGCTCGACAGCTTTTTGGGGGCGCTGGGGTGGCCGGCCCTGCGTTTGCTGTTCCGTCCGGGATGCCCGCCAGCCGGCCCCGTGCCGCGCGGCGCTGGCTTCCCGGGTGGGGACCGGGAGGGTGACAGCTGCCGCGGCGCCAGCTGAGGAGCGCCCATGCCTGGCTCCCTGGTCCAGGCGCCGCGGAATCCGCGGATCCGGCGCCGGGGGCGCTGTGTTTAGCTGGGGACGAGGTCCGGTCGGGGCCCAGAGTTGTTCTGGGCAGAGGGTTTGAAGGGATGAGCGACTATTTTGGACACCCCGTTCTGTGGGTGGGTGGGGTAGTAACGGCCGCCGTTGGCCCTCATCGCCGGGTTAGGGGTTACTCCGCAACGGTCGGTGACGGAGAGGCCGAGATCCAGCTTCTCTGGCCCTGGGAATCGCAGGTGACCCGGCAGAGGGGCTTTAAGGTGGACGGAGTGATGCCCAAGGTTCACCTGCAACCCCCTCCTCCTCTAATGATTGGGTGAAGAGCTGGGGTGAAAAGGGTAGAGATCGGGAATGCGAACAGGTTCCCAAAGTTCGGACTGACACAGCCTAATTAGCGGCTGGAATGAGCGTGTAGATACCAGGAGACAGACCACTCTGGAGTTAATGTTAGGTGCGCCAAGAAAAAAACGTAGATTGTGGACAGTGTCTTGTCCAGATGGCTTTCATTGTCCTAACCCGAATAAACGGAGAGCTTTTCTGGTTTTTAGGAGAAATCTGACAAAGGGGGAAAAATGGCACTTTTACAGTAAAAGCTTAAATTGTTATTTTTCAGATAGAATTATTAAATTGTTAGCTTAAATTGTGCATAGTTCCAGGGGAAGTCTGAAGCTTCTAGCACTTCACAGTTTTTATGCCTCAACATTGTCCACATCTTGTTGGCTTTTGCAGTTCAGCCCTAGGATACCAGCTGCCTTCTGGGTTTAATATTGCATCAGGCATACATATGGCAGTGCAGCTAATAGCCCGCTGATATTTTTAGCTTTCTCAGTTCTCATTTGCTGAAGTCCTGGCAGGTGCTACAAAAATGCCCGAGTTAGAGCATACAATTGATGGGATGTAAGGAAGGTTATCATTTGGAGGCAGCAGGTGGAAATGAGCTAGATTGATCCGCCCCCTGTCTCCTACCCTCTCACGGCATTGCTTCCACGACTTTTTTTGCAGGTTGACTTTAAATATGTTTCTTCCTAAGGAGCTTGAATTTCTTCACCCTAGGTATGAAGTTGAGGCAACTACCAGTAAATTTTCATAGTCAGATTGTGTGATATTGGAGAAAACGGGGACTTGGGAATTCCAGAGTTGCAGAGTTGTTCTTTGGACTCCGATTCTTAAAAGGAGAACATTTTGGTTCAGAGGTTAATGGCTTGCCCCAGGTCACATGCCTGCCCTTGGTGCCACCAAGAATAGAGTCCTGCTCTCCAGTTCTCTTGGTCCCTGCTATCTTGCGTTGACTGCATTTTGCCCTGGATGCCTCTTGTTTGTGGTTCTTTTTTTTTTTTTTTTAATTTTTATTTATTTCTAGGAGAGAGAGAGAGAGACAGCGTGAGCAGTGGAGGGTCAGAGAGAGAGGGAGATACAGACTCCGAAATAGGCTCCAGGCTCTGAGGAGGCAGTCAGCACAGAGCCCGACGCGGGGCTCGAACCCATGAACTGTGAGATCATGACCTAAGCGAAAGTCGGACGCTTAACCGACTAAGCCACCCAGGCGCCCCTTGTTTGTGGTTCTTAAGCTTGTCATGTCCATCAGGAGAAGGAGAGATACTTATCATAACAATAATGGTCGATATTTATTTAATGTTTTCCATGTGCTGAGCACTGTGCTTAGTGTTTACAATCCAGTCTCTGAAATTTACAAATGAGAAATCCAAGGCTCCAGGCTCAGAGAGGCCAAGTGACTTGTCCAAGGTCACACCAGTAGTAAATGTTATATTTGGTTGCCAGAGGGTGTTCTTTTTTAAGTCAACATTCTTTTTTTTTTTTTAAATTAATTTCCTTAAATAATCTCTATACTCAGTGTGGGGCTTTAACTCACAACTCCGAGATCAAGAGTCAAGAGTCGCATGCTTTACCAGCTGAGTGAGCCAGGCACCCTGTGGTGTGTTCTTTTTAGTGTATTTCCTCCTATAAGCTTTTTGGACCTGTTTGTTGCCCTTGACCTTGGGAATCAATATCTTACATTGATCCATTAATATATCTTTCACTAATAGGTTAATTCTTACATTCTTATAATTAATACATTACTTACATTAATATGTTAATATGACCACAGAAAATTAAGAACAGCCAAATTTTCCTACTGTATTTGTACACAACTCAAGTATAGCAAGAGTTGTAAAAATAAAATTTACATAACCTTAAACATTGTTAAATGACAACATGGCTGATCCCTGAGATTATCAGATATTACTGAGTGAAAATTCTAGCAACAGGCTATAGGCACATGTTTCTCCAGTGCAAGGCAGAATCTGCTGCTACTTAAAGACAAACAGGCCATGTATCCATGAAGAAAACGAGCACCTTCAATCACATCATCACATTTAAACAGATTTAGGGTGTACATTCCTATCATTAACTTATCTGCCTTTGAAAGAAGTCATGGGGAAAACTCGGTTATCTTGTGCCAACCACCAGCCTGTTTTCCAGATACTATGACCTTGAATCGATGAGGTATGAATTTTCTATATTGAAGTGCTTTTGTAAGTAAAAGTTTTAATAAGACATTTTCCCCAAAGTTCATTTTTAATGTTTTATTTATTTCTGAGAGAGAGAGCAAGAGAGAGAGACCGTGAGCAGGGGAGGGTCAGAGAGAGAGGGAGATACAGAATCCGAAACGGGCTCCAGGCTCTGAGCAAGCTGTCAGCACAGAGCCCGACATGGGGCTCGAACCCACTAACCATGAGATCATGACCTGAGCTGAAGTCGGACGCTTAACCGACTGAGCCACCCAGTCACCCCCAAAGTTCATTTTATTAATCCCCATTCTCAAGGCCTGAATTTTTCCCGTACCTTTTCGCAATTCTAAGTCCCTTTAAAGGCAAGCAACCCCATGAGTTTTGAATGCAAAGCTTTCTACCTACATCAGGGTAAGGCTCTGGAGCCACATAGGATGGGTTCAAATCCCAGTCCCTGTGCGACCCTGGACGCATTATATAAACTTGGTGGCCTCATCTCTGACACTGAACAGTAAAGCCTCCCTCCAGGGCTGCCGTCAAGACTAATTGAGTTTGCACAGCTACTGTGCTGTAGTGCGGCAGGGCATGGTAACAGGAAGCTCTGAGTATCCTGGAAGTTGCCAAATTTCAGAAAAAAGTCGGGGCCCTAGAGCCCATCTAGTTGACACCCCCTTTCTTCATTTACAGATGGGACCAAGGCCCCGGGAGGGAAGTCACTTACCAGAGTGTGTGGGTTCTTCATCCAGAGCTCAAGTCATCTGACTCTTGGGGTACGTGCCACAGCATAGGAATCATGACATACAAGGCCTTGGAGCAGATGCTGTGCTCCGACTGTGTCCCCTGACCTGTCACTTCCCACTTCTCCCTCCCCTCGGTCTCCCTCACATTTTAGATGAGATTTTATTTCTCGCTAGGAATTGCTTCTTGAGGACAGTTCTTTTCCATATCATTTACTCCCCTCCAGATATTTTTTAAAAACCAAGATGAGCTTAACACTCAGAGGACTTGAAAAAGAGAGACACTCGGCCGCCAGCCAGCTCTTTGCTCAGGACGGGGGGTGGGTGGAGAAGTAGATTTTGGACTTGAGCTCTTCTGTCCACAGATGCGGGGGGTGGGGGGGGGCGGGGGGAGCGCCTGTCCCCTCAGGAGCAGCACTGGCACCTCTGCTTGGGGCTCTGCTCCCAGCCCCAGCAAAGAGCGGCCACAGAGACCTTTCTGCTCCCCAAGAGCTAAGCCCGTCTCAATCCTGGACCAGGTCATTTGCTTTCCACCAGGCTCTGGGTCTCCTCGCTGGGGGCACCGAACCCTCCTCTCCGTGGGGCTCGCTGTCTTTGCTCATGTGCCCTTTGTCTCCATCAAAGGGAAGGCTTCCTAAGGTGGTCTGCTTGGGAAAGCCCAGAGTGACCTGTGTCTTCTCTCCTCCCCCCCAGAACAGCGAGACCTTGCAGGACCTTGCAGGACCTTGCGGTTCCTCTCTTCATGTGCTTGTCTGAGCGGGCCCGCGTTGGCCAGGGGTGAATTCGCACGTCGCCCAGCATGAACTGGAAGGTGAGCATACCTTTGATTTAAACCTTGTGGCTTGGGATCTTTTCTTGCTCCTCATTGTAAAAACTGAGAACAGCGGTGCTGTCGAGGTAGGCGGATTAAAAAGAAAAAGTGAATTAAAGTAGGAATCATAATAATACTTACTATTTTCTTTTAAGCTAAAACATAAAAAAGCACATTTAGTCACCGGACTTTTGGAGGAGGGTTAGGCCCTTTCTTTGAGTGGGGGGGATACCAACTTCAGGTCTGCCCCCCTTCCCTTGCCCAAACCACGCCTGTCAAGTTTTACCTATGGTACCACAGTTTGGTTTCTTCAAAGTGGGTTAATATATTGGGAACCAATCTACATACAACATCTTTCCAGATTTCGATGTCGTCTTCCCCAGTCTTTTACATCTGTGTTGCCGACAGCACTGTTTGGTTTGGTTTTTTGTTTTTTTCCCAACTCCAACTTGAAAATGCATTGAAAGCACTCGATGTAGTTTTCGTGGAAACCGTTTTTTTTTTTTTTTTATAGACTATAGCCATATTTTGTAACTGTCGTGTTTGGAAAAAGTATCTACGATGACATCATATACACTTAAACTAGTTGGGGAATAAAGACAGCTGTCCTCTACAGAACAGATTCAACAGGTGGGAGTGCGGGGCCCAGGGCGACAGTCGCCTGCAAGCCGTGAGCAGTCAGCGGGCTGCGGGCAGCGGGCCTTACGGAGGGAAGGATAGGCCTCACGTTCAAGGCTTGGTTTAGAGAGCAGCCACCAAAATAGATCATATTGTAGATTCTTTGAAAGTATAAAATGCAGCAAAAACCGTGTTGTCTCACTGTCTAGAGATGGCCGCCATCAACAACTTTGGGGTGTTTTCTTCCAATGTTTCCTCCATATTTGTAAGTGTGCTGTGTGTGTTTTCAAACTTGGGAGCTCACTGTGGATTTTTGCAGTGATGAGTATTTCCTTGTTTGAAATGTCCACCCGCTTTCCATTGCAAGGCTCACTGGGAAGGTGTGGAAGCAGGACCAGGGAGCTAGGTAGAGAGCGCCTCTCCTTCCCCAGCTCCTTGGGGCAGAGGTTTGGGGGGGAGAGGGGGGCATGCGGGAGGACCATGGTGACCATTCTCCAGGATGAGCCTGGTTGAAGTTAAGAGGCAGAGTAAGGATTTCCTGAAGAGGTTGAAAATGTTGGCGTGTTTGTTCGGCAAATTTTGGGACTCCAGAGCTCACAGTGGAAAGGCTGGGAAGGAAGGATGAGGCAGCGAGGAGATGTAATGGGAAGAAGCAGAAAGTAGCGTGAGTGCGATTTAGGGAAGGGCCTGGCCTCTGTGGTGGCCCCAGTCCCTGGGGACAAGAGGCAGTAACTGGTGCTAAAGGCTTGCTGGGGACTGTGGGGGGCGCCTGGGTGGCTCAGTCGGTTAAGCGTCCGACTTCGGCTCAGGTCACGATCTCACGGTTCGTGGGTTCGAGCCCTGCGCCGGGCTCTGTGCTGACAGCTAACTCAGAGCCTGGAGCCTGCTTCAGATTCTGTGTCTCCCTCTCTCTCTGCCCCTCCCCTGCTCATGTTCTGTCTCTGTCTCAAAAAGAAATAAACATTAAAAAAATTTTTTTAAAAACAAAACAAACGAAAAACCCCACAGACTGGGCCCACCCCCAGAGCCCCTGACCACTTAGTCCGGGGTTAACACGGGTCTAGGGCAGGGCGCAGAGAACGTTTTTAATCGTAGAGTGAGGGACAGCCCCTTGACCACCCAGGCCAGTCCTGCTGGTGACAGAAGGCGTTCTTATGTCAGGGACAGAATCTGCCCAAACCTTTCCAACTTCAAGCAGACCCACAGCCCCGAGGCTGCCCGGGAACCACCTCATGGTTAAGAGGGGGCCCTTCCCTGTCCCGTCAGAAAGACACGGCCTCTCTCTGCATCCTGACTGCATGGAGCTCTGGAAGGCAGGAGGATTATGTAGCCCACGGTACATCTGTGGGCTCCCCTTTCTGGCTCAGTGGGCGTGTGGCATCACCGACAGTGAATACTGCACATTAGCAACAGCATTTGCTACTTGTTTAAAAAATTAGCTGTTCTCCTTACACAAGTATTGGGGGTGTGTTTTAAAAATTGGAATAGGGGTGCCTGGGTGGCTCAGTCGGGTAAGTGTCCGACTTCGGCTTAGGTCATGATCTCAGTATGTGAGTTCGAGCCTCGCAGTGGGCTCACTGCTGACCGAGCAGAGCCTGCTTGGGATTCTTGCTCTCTCTCTCTCTCTCTCTCTCTCTCTCTCTCGCTGCCCCTCTCCCACTCAAGCTCTCTCTCTCTCTCCCACCCTCTCTCTCTGCCCCTTCCCCTCCCTCAAAATAAATAAACTATAAAAAACTTAAATAAAATGACAGGTTTGTTAGAATGCAAAGGCATTCAAAGGCAGACATTTAGCACAACTGAAGTTCAGTCCCCCAGAGGGGCAGGAATGGAGCCCTGAAATCCGTCACTTTAAGCCTGGGGAAGGGTCCCTGACCTCTGCTGCCGCGCTCTGCTTGCCCGCCCCTCCCCCCCCCAGTCCTGAAACTTCTGCCTTTCGCTGCCTCCCCTCCACTGCCTTTCAAAAGAAAGTAAATACCAAAACCACTCGCCTCTGTCAACTTGTTGATGTGTTCCCAGTTCAGTGCATTTTCTAACTTCCAGTTGAATTCTACATTCCCGTCACTGCTAAAGCCATCTGATGTTTAGATCACAGGGAACTGTGGGCTGTGATGTGGGCTCAGCCGTGGGGATGGAGAGAACGGGTGGGGGGTAACTTTCCCATGTGGATTAGCATGCAGTTGGCCTGGATCAACTCAGCGAACATAAAAGGAGGTCTCCATCTCTGAACTGATTGTATTTTTCCCCCAAGGAAGTAAAATAAAAGAACACTTAACACTTTTTTTCTTTCATAGCTGGTTTGTAAACATGGTGTCCAACCTCATCTTGACTGAGAACCTGCAAGAAAATATGTGAATTAGCCGGTACTGGGGGGAAGTAGTGGAGGTTAGCCCTAAGTCTGAGTGAGGAAGATCTGCGTTCTAAGCTGCTTCTATTTGTCACAATAAAAAGTTCCTTTTGCAATGTTTTCAGTCTTTTATACTGTTGCTCAAGTGATCTTTCTCAAGTGCGTATGTTGTATTTATTCTTTGCTGTTAAATTGCCTCTGTGGTTGGAAACTATTATGCAGTTGTTCTTGGATTCTGACCGTTGTAGTTAAATTAAAACAACTCAAATATTTAGATTCCTCCTTTTGATGTCTGCTCTGTTCCCATTGCACCCCCTTGGCGTCCTCCTCAAATACCCATGAGTAACCTGATACATAATTTCAGAGGTAGCGATTCCAGTTGGCTCTAATAAATTCAGTAGCCTAGGCATTTATTTGCATAATTTAATTGTAAAACTGGTGAGGCTGGGGAGCGGATGTGCTTGTCACAGTGTAGTTTAGCAATAGTTTGGGCTCTGGAGCAGCCTGAGCTCGGTCAGACCCTCACCATTCCAGACTTTACACTTTCTCAGCCATAAGATTAGGACAGGCTGTCTGCCTCCTGGGGACAGGAGGCCGGAGTCTGCCTGCTGTGGAAGGAAGATCTTTGGGAGGCACGTGGTGCCCAGTGAGCTGCCGGGAGCCCTCACTGATGCCACGACTTCTATGCAGGAAATCTATATCTAGGTCTGAGTCTAAAGACTTTTAACAAAATTGTTTGAACACACACGTATGTCATTTGTGATTTCATTAATTCTGTTTCCTTGAAAATCGGGAAGCAGTGGGAAGAAGACTGGCAGAGAGGTTAGAATGTTTCGTTCTGACTCTGGCCTCATTGTGAATCAGCTGCGTGACGTGGGCCTCTCCCCGACCATGAGCTTCATGCTCCCTGTTTGTAAAACAAGGTAGAAGACTAGTCACGCTTAAAATCTCTCCCAGCCCTCCCGCTCCGTGAGCCTATCGTTTCCGGCTAAAGTTTTCACAGGCTCATTCTGTTAGAAGGGGAGACAAATGTGCTTCCTGTAGTAGAACCTAGTAGGATCTCATGATATAGGAGTTGCGTAGAATAAATTATGTTTGGCAATTTACTGATGTCATTGGAATAAATCCCCTAGAATAAGTGATTGCTCAACCAAATCATACCTTTATTTGGGAAGGAATTTGTAATCACACAAAAAGCTCATTCAGGTCATACTAACCATGTGTGTAAAACAAGTATAGTATTTGCCTTGAGATACTACTCTGCTGTGTAGACATCATAATAACGTCCCTACTAGTACAGGGCGTAATTCAAATCCATAGTTATTCCCTGGCCGTCATTTTAGCCCATGGGTTAAAACTTACTCTCTAACGGGAAATTATAGGAACAGTTAATAAGTAGCTAAGTTTTCATGTCTTGAATTTTATTGTATTTCTATATTTATTGGAGCACCAGTGCTAGTGAGTAGCTACAATCAAGAAGAAATCGTAGCATCCTAAGGTTGGAGAATCTAGAGAGAAGGTCTGGTCCACCTCCCTCGAGGAGGCAGAAGCTCAGAAAATCAAGTGCCTGACCCAGGTCACATGGGCAGTCAGTGGCAGAGCAGAGCTGTCACTGGACCACAGTGCTACCTCGGCAGCAGGGGCCGGGGTGACCAGCCAAGGGCCTGATCCAGTTGTGAGAGACCAGAGTTAGGTCTGTGATCCGTGGGTGGTTCGCTCACGAAGCCAGCAGCAAGGGAGCGATGGAGGGCAGAGGGGACACTAGACCCTGTCTGTCCCGGTCACCGGTGTGGCCCCAGCGGCTGGCTTAGTGCCTGTTACATAATAGGTGTGCGGTAGAGGTTTGTTAAACGGCGGAATGTAAAAGAAACCTTCCTTATCAACCATAGAACATTTAGAACGCTCGCTTTCTTCTTTAAGGTCCTTGAACGCGTGCCCCTGCTGCTGTATATCTTGGCAGCAAAAACCTTAATTCTCTGCCTGGCATTTGCTGGCGTCAAAATCTACCAACGGAAAAGATTAGAAGCAAAACTGGAAGCGGAAAAGAAGAAGCAGTCAGAGAAGAAGGATAACTAGAGGGAAAAATCAGAGGTATGGGGACTTGGCGTGTGGGAAATTTACAGTGGGGGGGAGGTGCACAGATGTGAGAGTCGGAGAAGCCCTCCTCCCTCGGGTCTGACCCACCTGCCGACTGGCGGGGAGCGTCTGTGGACGGCGAGGTGCGCAGGTCCTGGCCCCCCGCGCCCTGCGTGCGTTGGGCCGCCTCTGCCCCAAGCCTCGGCGCTGCTGGCGTGTCCGGGCTTAGCAGGTATTGGGTCACGGGACTCTCGACCATTTCCCGAGAGCCGTGGACCTTCTCCCAGCAGAAGCACACACACCAGAAACCCCTACAGTTTCGCATCAAATTGCAGACCACGGGAGACTCCCAGGCCCCTCGGCCTTTGCTGGTCGGCCCCAGAGGGTCCCTCCCAACAGCCCCTTCCCCCAGCGTGGAGCTATGCTCGCCGCGGTGGCCTTGGGCCTGTCACAGCACCCAGGAGGGGCCCAGAACACGCTTGTTGGTTAAAGCACCAGGAAGTAGTTATTAAAGCCCCATCACAGAGTGAACGTACGACAGTCGGCCTTCCCTGCGTTCTGGTGCGTTCTGGTGCGTTCTGGTGCGCTGATCTCATTTCTTCGTTTATCAGCTTGAAGTCTGTGCATCTCTAAAGATGTGAGGATTCGGATATGGTGGCAGGGGGTTCCAGATCCGCGGGCCCCAAATTTGGCAACTGATGAAAATTGTCAAAAGTGCAGATTTCAAGGCCCCCAGCCCCAGAGAGGTTCTTTTATGTGTGGTGGAGTGTGGACACCTGTTCTCTTTTTTTTTTTTTTTTTTTTTTACTGTTTTTATTTATTTCTGAGAGAGACAGAGAGGCAGCATGAGCAGGGGAGGGTCAGAGAGAGGGAGACACAGAATCCGAAGCAGGCTCCAAGCTCTGAGCTGTCAGTACAGAGCCCGATGTGGGGCTTGAACCCACGAACCATGAGATCATGACCTGAGCCGAAGTCGGACACTCAGCCAACTGAGTCACCCAGGCGCCCCTGGACATCTGCTCTTTTGAAAACCTATTAAGGGATTCTTTTTGCCTTCTTCTTAACACATGTATGTGTATTTTTAATTTAAATTTTAGTTAACGTCCACTAGGGGATTCTTAACACAGCCCCGTCAGCCACATGTCACTTTAGGAAGCACTGGGCCATGCTTCTGTAAATAGGAATTCCTGTAGAGGATTTTTAAACACTTTTTTACTGTTTATTTATTTATTTTGACAGCGAGAGAGCGAGAGCAGGGGAGGGGCAGAGAAAAAGAGGGAGAGAGAGAATCCCAAGCAGGTCCGAGCTGTCAGCGCACAGCCTGACACAGGGCTCGATCCCACAAACCGTGAAATCA